GTTTCAGAAAATCATTGCTCTAAGTTTATTACATGTATAAACTTTATACCTTTATAAAAATTTATTGCAATGCTTTAATAAATTATTAACACTTAACTGATAGCAGTTATTAACAAAAATATTTGTATATTGTTGTATACATATAACAAAGAAGTAATTTAAATATTTAATGAAATTAAACCAAAAAGTGATCAATATACACAAATATACCAATTTATACATACATACAATGTATTTTTCCAATACCAAAGTTAACATACCAAGTTGTGTATGCAACGTGATCTTTAAATACACAATGAACAGTAATGATTGATGCTATGGTTTTTATATGTATATTTTAAATTAAAATTGATTTTCTTTTTGTAAATATCGATCTATATTAAAAATGATTATATAAATTATATAATATAATCGATACGTTTTTTATAATAAAACAATTTGAATACAAGTCTTTTATTAACCACATTATACCACAACCATTTCCTATCTTCTAATTTCCCGTTTTTCATTGACATGTTACTGTGTCTTGTTTTAGATTTAACATTTATCATTAAAATGTAACTTTAAATATGAAATAAACATTGAATTTATTGGCCAGTTTTTGTCCTGCCTGTTGAGTTCTGACTCTGCCACGTACTTAACCACATGTTTATATTCACATTTACGATAAATAGTCATTTTCAACAACCAAAAACACAAAAAATATTTAATATTTTATGGTTCGATTATGGTTTGTTTTCATTAAAAACTCTATTTTCAAGTAATAGTGATTCACGTTAAAATATTCTTTTTCGAATCAGCTTGTCTACATAGTTGGTTAAATATGTGAAATAACATCGGGCGACAACAACGAAATGATGAAGTGTCAAGTGTAATATAACAAAATATTTTTAATGAAAATATCATTACGATTTATTTTATGATCAAGAAATCATGGGACTGCGTAAATACGAAAACAATTTCTTGCTACAGAAGCTCTACATTATAAGTGTCAACAATGTGATATAAAAATACAGGAAGTAATCAAAATTAACTTAAAATGTGCACAACGTAATAGCATGCGTCGATTTAAGCATGCCCGATAAAAATTGATTGTATGGCTGGTATTTTTATTTTTGGAAATAGTATTTTATTTTTATTTGTATAAACCGAATTCAATTTTAATACAATGTTTTTACCTTTTCTGTTTTTCTGTTAAAAAGCCATTAAACTATTAATGGCTTTATTAAACAAATCGGGTCTTGTGTTTTTTTTGATTTTTTGCATTTGTTTAATTTAATATTTCGGGAATTTAACTTTAATTTATCAATTACTATTGAATTATCACTTTTTTTCTGTACTATATTTGATTGTTATTATATGGTTAATTTTTAAGTTTTAATATTATCATAATACTTATAAAATAATAAATATAATATAATACATTTTTACATAAAAAATAAAATATATTTTTAGATGGAGAATATAATATGGTATATTAATAATTAAAAATACAATTGTTAATAACTTCTGTACGGCTACGCCACGTATTTCCCTCCTTATGTTTTTTATTTTGCCAAACAACAAAAAAATGTCTAACTCTGCAAACAACAAAAAAATGTCTAACTCTGCTATTATATAGTGTTGAAAGCATAAAAACAAGTTTTTAATATTATAATTGAACAAATATTATTATTTTTATCAATAATATCAATAAACATGTAAATATATTTTTGGAAATTTTTATCAAGTTATTTAAAATAAAAAACAAAAATGCATTTTAAACAAATTTCGCTGCACAAATCAATGGAACATATCTTTATAAATAGTTTATTTTACTGTACTGATGTTGTCACAAAGGCAAAAAAGATTCAATAATTCATCATCAGCAACAAAAAATATAATCAAACTATTTTAAATAGAAACTAAAACATATTATAATAAAAGTTAAAAAATAAGATTTTTGTATAAGTAGGTTTTTTATAACGTGTTAGTTATGTTAAGATTGTCAAAAATGTGTATGAGTCATTTTAAGATTTATTTTTTTGTTATTTTTTGTTTTTTTATTGAAAAAGGGGGTATTTATTTTGTGTTGTGTTTTTCTTTCGAATATATATTAATATAAACGTAAAGTATTTATATATTATTTTAAAATAAAGATGGATCATACTATATAAATCGGTTATTAAAATAGTTCAAAATCCAAAACTAATACCAAATATTTATTACAATCAAACAAAACACAAAAAAATCAAAATCGTCTTATATTATTATTCATTCAAATCAACAATTATTTACATTGATATATTTTTTTCAATTCGAAAACAAGTTCAAAAATTAAGGTTTTCTGTTTATAGCACGTAATAATCGATATATAATACATATAAAAAACTAAAAATAACAATCGAAATTACTAACAAATGGACAGTCCAACTCAAGAACACAAAATTGAATTTGTTTATTCAACAAAAAGAACACTTTTACCTTGTTTTGAAGGTTATATTTTTATTCAAAAGACTCTTCACATAAACGGTATAGGTGTAAAGATTGTGGAGTAACTATTACACTTGTAAAAGAAGTTGTTGATGAAGAAGTTAATTATCTTATTGGACCAAAGCCACAGCATTTGAATGGTCATACAAATCACATGGAATATATTCAGAGATTGAAAGAAATACAAAAAATCAGAACAGAAATCCATGATGATAAAAACAAATATAAACCAGTTAAAGAAATAGTAAAAACTTGTTTAATAAACACCAATTCAAGACTGAGTGTGTCCAGTAGATTAGCAAGAACATATAAAAATAATTTATACAAAACAGTAACCATTGATAATTATTTTGAAAATAAAAAAGTAAAAAACATTTTATTGTATAGAAACGAAGACAATACAATTATTATTTTTGGTTCGAAATCAATGTTAGAAAAAGCCACATACGCCAATGTTATTTGTGTAGATGGCACTTTTAGTATGTGCCCAACAACCCATTATCATTTGGTGACATTTCATGTTGTGTGTGGTGATTTGTTTTCATTTTCTTGTTTTTATGTTTTGTTAAATAAAAAAGATGCAACAATATACAACGAAGTATTATTTGTTATTGATCAAATATCTTTGATATTATTTGGTGTTCCAATTTTTAATAGAACCGATTTGACAATAAATTCCGATTTTGAGGCAGGTTTTATAAAATCTATTAAAGATTTGAGTTGTCAAATGAAAGGGTGTTATTTCCATTTTACACAATGTTTGTGGCGGAAAATTCAAAACTTTGGCTTGTCTGAAAAATATAAGTTTAATGGGCAATTTTCCAAAGAAGTAAGAAGACTTATCACACTTCCTTTTTGAAAGAAACAGATTTAAAACATCAATTTTATATATTACAATCACGTTTAAAAGATAAAGATTCTTTTTTTGTTTATGAATATTTCGAAAACACTTGGTTAAATGATGTAATGTTTCGTTTTGGTGCCACCATGATTCAATGATGCGCACCAACAATATAGCAGAATCCTTTCACAGCATGCTTTCTCGAACAATTCTTACACCAAAACCATCTTTTGGAAAATTTATCGATCATTTGTTGGACATTATAAATGAGACCGACATAAAAGTTCAAAATGAAATGACAAATCCAAAAAGTAAGAAAACCAAATAAGAAACCACTACGAAGTGTATTCAAATGTTAGTCAATCGGTTTTACACTGATAAAATAATAAATTGTAATATTGAATTGTTGTTGGATACTATTTTTTTGCAAAACTTCATTCTAAAAACTCGTTTGAATGCTTTTTTGAATCGGA